AGTGAAAGGACATAGCATCTCCACAATCCAGAGACTTGGGAATCTTCCTAAAAATTTCCAAATTTAAGTTGCGTCATCAACCTTGACGTCTCAACACTGTACCTTCCTCTTCATTCCTTAAGTCACTATTTTGCCCATCTATTTGACAGTAGGACAGAGAACGAGGTTGCTGCACACATTGAATGTGTAACTCTCAAATGATACTGCAAATCTGACTTTCCACATTCGAAATCTTGCTCTTCAGATTCCCATTAAGGAAAGACAGTATGTGAGTAGTAAAATGGGCTGTAAATATTCCCAGAGCTGCTCAAGGAGACAGTGGAGCTCAGCAGCCTTTTGCATACGAGTTAGAAGTATGGGAAAACTGAAAGTATCTACACCAGAACAGGGTGGTGAATGCTAGATCTTCAGACTAGAGGCCTAGTGCACTGAGCTCTCCAGCAGTTTGATGGGTTCAGTAAGAGTCTATTCAAATCACAAAGTCTGGGTCACTGCTTGACCTTTCTTTCTCATTCTTTCCCTTGAATGTTAAGTCCAAACAAACTAAAAATAAGTGACTGGAAATACAAGATATTCTAGCCCAAAGCCGTGGAGAAATTCTGCTTCTAAATTCCAGGCTACTGTGCTTGCACGTGGGATCGGGACAACGCTGCCTTCCTGTGTTTTTTTCCAAATCCTCCAATACCAGCAGCAGTTATTCCACAAACACTCAACCACACGCACGCTTTCCAAAATGCTCAGCGATAGAAGAGCAGCGAGTCTCTCAGTCACCAAATTTTGGGCAAAACGAGTAGTATTTTTTGTGAGCTTTGAAAGCATTTACTTTAGCCTCTCTCTTCCCCAGGGCCTGCAGAAAGCATAGTAAATGTGGGAGCTTGGTCACTTTCTACTTCCGTGATGGTCCCTATCCTATCCGTTCTTAAACACCCTTCTCCAAACCCTATTCCTCTTCTCTCTGCCATCTACTCCTCTGCTGTTGCTTCTCTCCTCTGCTCAGCGTTCTCCTTTTTCCCGCCATAAACACTGCCACTCTCTCCTATTCATTCCCTTCCTCGTGCCCACCCCTTCTCGCATTCCAGTTCCCAGACAAGTGTCCTTCTAATATAGTAGTAACTTAATCTATAGATTACTGGCACTCGTCCCTTCCATCCAAGAAGATTTGGATTTTCTCCATCATATCTGGATTAACAGTCGCACCACGTCAGGAGGTTGCCGAGTTCTCCAGGCGTAGGGAGAATTTATAAAGAGCGAATTTGTTTTGAAGGTTGTGCCCAGCCCATAAAGCGCTTCTCTTGTGCTTTTCTTGTTAAGGAAATAATTAGGTCTAAAATGGACTCTTTAACGACAGGGGCGTCCATCTTTCTCCTCTCTCAAAATCAGAGCTACAGCATCGTGGAGGGAAAACCACGTTTTCAAACTCAGGTATAGGAAGCAGCCATTTACAGGAGCTATGATTGTACTTGTCGCTCTTCCCTGCAGTCTAATTAACCCGTTGCTATGGAGCCGATCCGACCCCATAAGGTTCCCAATGAGGGCTGGCACATTCGAACTGCTAACCTTTATGGTTAGCAGCCATAGTGCCTAACCAGCTCACCGTCAGGGCTCCGGTTTCCGTCAAATACTGTGAATTAATTAACCTCTAGTTCAATCTGCCCACCTGGATCTTCATTCCTTCGCAGCGCTCACGGAACTCATCTTTGTATTCCCCTGTACTATCTTTTTTGTCTTTCTGTAAGCTTCATACACAGGGACGAAGGACTTTTCAGGAACACAATCAGGAGACTTAAGAGAATGTTCAATCCCGCAACTCTCCTCGTGGTGGACTGGAACTGACTGCCACTCAAGCAGTTGGCTAAAAGACTCCCTGAAGAAGCCAATGCTCGCTGGAAGATCTCAGAGTTCTTTGGTCCGGAATGCGTTTTCTTCCTTCTCCTGACATAGCTACGAGGTAGGATCCAATCCAGCAACACAGTAATTGAACATAATGAATTTTGACTTGTGAAAACTTACGTTTTAAAACACCTGTAGACCAAGGTGAAGGTCAGTATTGTAAGTCATGTGGGGGTGTAGCTCAGTGGTAGAGTCAGTGCTTAGCATACATAAGGACCAGCGTTCAATACCCACCACTTCCATATGCTGTTTTTTTTCTCACCGACTCACAGTTGAATATTGGCAATTTTTTCCCCCACACTTTCCCCCTTTTTCTCTTTGTGAATACCTTTTCTTCTGTTTTTCCAATTCACAGAAAGGATAAATCATTTGCTAGTTACTCAGTTGGATAATTACTCACTTGTCCTTGACACTCCTTGGGCCTCCCAACCTGACTGCTTAAGCACAATAAAGTCAGGAGGAACTGGAGTAAAAGAAGGTGCTCACTCAGGATCTGCTGATGGTGAAGCAACAACATTCCCCCATGTCATAGACAGCCTGTTGTCCATTACTACAGTTTTGCATTATTATTAAGAAGTAGAGAAGAAAGAGATGCAAAGAAGCAGGGGAAAATGACTGTTGGACAAATTCCTTTTGAGTCTTCTTTTTTCCCCCTCACCTGTGTCAGCGGATAGATAGCAGGTTTAGGAGAAAAGTTTCCTTCCAATTTCTTTATCCCATTTCTCCTAAACTTCCACTACCACCCACTTAATCTTGGTCCACAAAAGGTCGGTCCAATTGCTAGTCATGGAGATCTGTGATCCCAACCACGGACATCTGTGATCCTAACTCTTTACTAATGGTGAAGAAGTGTTAGGATGCTATGCAGAGGAAAGGCATTTCTCAGGAAACCTTGAGTCTTCCAGCATGCACAGCTGAGAAAAATATTTCTAGAGATGGAAAGATCTGCTAAGCTCTCTTAAAGCCAAAAAAAAAAAGTCTTGGGCAAAAAGAGCTGCATCTTCCTATGGGAAAAACATCTTTAGTCTATTTTCCTTAGGAGGAAGGGAACTTTCTGACTTCCTGCATTGTAGAGAGAACAGAGGAGACATAGGCAACCCTGACAGGTTCAAACTACCTCCTGCCATCCAAATTCAACCCATCCTAAAGACCTACTTCCAAACCATCTTTCACCTTCTCTTCTAGTTTATCCATACCCACATCCACCTCTCTCCTCTTATCTTCCCCTTCATTTTCTTCATCACATAATGTCTCACCTTCAGTTTCCCTCTCCCAGCCCCCTTTAATCTTGTCTCCAGTGCTTCCTTCTAGCAAAAATTTCCCAGCAGCTCAGTTCACTCAACACCACTTCCTAGGCCAGCAGTTCTCAAAAATGGCTGAAAAATGGAAACATCTGTGGAGACTTTTCAATGATATAGATCCCATCCTCTCCCTATCCCATGATTCTCAGTCCATTCAGGATCTATAGTGGTGGAATCAGGAATACATATATTCACAAAGTTCTCAGGCAGTTTCCCAGGTTTGGGAACCACTCCATTCTGATCTAAGACATTTATTTCCCTTTTAACTCTGTATTGGAATTTGTTACTCAGCATGTTACCTTATAATGTCTTCCAGCCTCTAAGCGCCCATGTCAGCTACTTCCCAGCACCAACTAAGCCTCAGTCAGTTATTTGAGGGAGGTTACAGTAAGGGAGGTGACTAGTGCTGTGGAGGAACTGAGGAGTTAATATATAATGTATTCCAATATGCAAGAAGATACAAACCTCTCACGGGGGAAAAATACCAGAATGAAAACTAAAAGAAAGAGAAGACACAATGATTAAGGATTATCTCCTAAAACTCATGTGGGTTGACCAACATCACAAATTTTGGCAAGAGAAGGAAGCCTCTATTCTTTTAGCTTCTGTGATGGCTGAGGTTTGAGTGTCTGTCCAGGAACAGGAGGGGGCTGTTAGAAAAGGTTAATATGCTTGCAGTTTTTGCTCAGCCCCCATCATGCCTCCCGCATGCCTCTGTGTCGTTCTCAGAATCCTAGCTGTAGCTTCACAAGACAAAGCCACTGCTGGATTTCCTGACTAAGGTTTTGACTCCAGGGTTTGCTAGAACAGTGACTGTCCATGACACCATATAATTATTGTTTTTCACTTAGGATCTGTTTTTTCTTTCCATCTGGATCGAAGTTTCCCAAGCCAACTTCTCAGGTTCTGCTCTTTTGTATCCTTGGCCTAGAATTATTCTTTGTGGCTCTGATAGCCAGAAGTAGTGGAAGTGCAAGACCCTTGGGGTTTTATGCATGCACTTGCCTGAGACTTCGATGTCTTAGGGTTTAACTGCTCACTGTCCCTGGAAAGAGTCCTGGTGGAACAAGTGGTTAAAAGCTTAGCTGCTAAGCAAAAGGTCCACGGTTCCAATCCATCAGCCCCTCTCTAGAAACCCAATGGGCAGTTGGATTTTGGTTTTTCCCTGGGAAAAGAGTCCCTAGGTGTACTTAGTTAACACTTCCTTGCTGCTAAATGAAAGATTGGAGGTTTCAGTTACCCAGACGCGCCTGGTGATCTACTGCCAAAAAATCAGCCATTGAAAACGCTATAGAGAACAGTTCTACTCTGACACATATGGGGTTATCATGAGTCAAAAGCAACTCGACGACTTCCGGTTTTTCCTGGGAAACGTGTCCAAATATGCGTTCCCATTGTTTTATAGAGACTTCTTACCTCTTATGGTTTTTGCCTGCTGCCTGAAAGTTTCTCTAAGACATCATCAGGGCTCCAAGCCAAATACAGTGAGTTTATGAAGAGCAAGAGGAAAACGATGTCTGTCTGGAGAATCTGTGCTTGGCCGAATGGAAGATGATAGTCCAACGCTGTGTTTCACTACTTGGGCGATGCTGTGCACCTGTCAGGAGTCAAAAAGAGAAAAACCAAACCCGTTGCCATAGAGTCAATCCCAACTCACAGCAACCCTATAGGACAGAGTACAACTACCCCATTGGGTTTTGAAAGAGTGACTGGTGGATTCCAACGGCCTAGTTTTTAGTTACCAAAAAAACCACTGTGCCACTAGGGATCCAAATATCACTCTCACGACACAGTGGGGAAAGGAAGGAACAACGAGGATGGCATTCGAACCCATGCCTGCAATGCACAATGGATTAGCAATCCATCGCCTTAACCGCTCGGCCACCTCATCAGAAATAAAGGGAAAGAGAATCAAACAGAAGGAAAGCTTATTCGCTCAGTTTTGCCCTGAAATAATTTAGACATCAGCATAACCGGAGGTAGCCCAGCAGGGAGCCTCACCTGGCAGCTTTTTGGTTTAGTTGGTTAAAAAAAAAGAAAAACCTATCTGCAGGGACCTTCAACCCTCCTCCATCTTTCTGTCTTTTTAATAATAGTACAAAATGGGAGCTTAATGTGCACGCTTTTGTTTTGGGTGATTAAAAAGATTGTTAGCATCTGATTCGTCTTTTCTCATCTTTCTTGTCATTTTCCTTTGCTGTCACAGTCAGCTTAAGGGATATAGAAGCTCAAAGCACAGAAATGGAAGAGCATTCAAGGAAGTCCGTTGGGTTATGTTTTTGCTGTCTATCTGTGCAAGAATTGAACGCAAAATATTAGGAGAAGTGAATTTGTATTCCTTCAAGATTTGGATTTAAATAGTGCTGGAGCAGAGAAAAAGCATAAAGGTGTGGAGGATCGAAGCCAGGGCCTCATACGTGCAAAGCATGTACTCTACCACTGACCTGCATAAGCCTCGTTCCTGAAGTGCTGCTGGCTAGTTTTAGATGGAACTAAGTGTTATTTCCTGAGATTCATGCTCCTTGAGCACTGTGGTAGTGTTTCTCACTGTTAAGAGGCATCAGCAGCTGCTTTTGGTAGGAGGTGCTCAGGAACCAGTGGAGGATATTGATTCTTTATAGAGCTTGAAAGCGAAGGCAGAGGACTGGAAACGTGTTGGATAAATAGCCACAGGAGGTTTCCACTGTGGCCTTTTTTTACAACCTTGAGTTGTTACAAGTCTCTGTCATCTACTATGGGTGGCAAAGAATCAAGTCCCCATTTTCAGCTCCTTTGATTTCCTCTATAGTTGTCTTAACCTGAAGCACAAAGCTAAAGAAATTAATCTTTTGGCTGCCTAAAAATCTTCACTATATTTGCTGTTTGCGCAGTCAGAATGTATGAGCCAGATTTGATGGCGGAAAGCAATAGGCAGAAGAAAATCCGATAGTTATGCACTCTGCATTTCATTATAATGGTCTTTTCTCTTCTACTCAAGATATCAGGTAACTCAGGGGCCCTACCAGCAGTCCAGAAGAGGAAATCATAGGATATGAATGAAACAGCAGCTTCAGGATTTAGAAAAGCTGAATTATAAGAGTAAGATAGACAGTAAACAGACGGGATTTAAAGGTCAAAAAAAAATGTGAGTGAAGCATTTATTCATTTAAAAAAAATTTAAGTCATTTTTAAACATAAGGAGGTACATAAAAGGGAGTTTTGAAAAATTGGGGGTGGGGGGAATGGGAGGAACCCTTGAAAAGGGAGAAGATATACTCGTATGGATTTCAAGATATATTGAAACACACTTGTGAGAATGTTACACAGTGAACTTAGGGTAGTACTCTGGTCTCCAGCCTTGGGTTTGTGAGTGATCAGTAAGTATAAGCATGTGGGAGGTGGATAAATCTGAAAAATGTGCTTTGAGAATTGGGGATTAGAAATTCATTCCTGATATTTGTGGAAAACAAGTAAGCTTGCTCCTAGATTCTTCTTGAACCCTGGGATTTATCATGGTTAAAACTCTGTTCTTTCAGGATACAAGGAAAAGATTAGTCCAAAGGACTAATGAACCACAGCTACCAAGGCCTCCATCAGACTGAGTCCAATACAGCTAGATGGTGCCCGGCTACCACCACTGACTGCTCTGACCAGAATCACAACAGAGGGTTCTGGACAGAGCTGGAGAAGGATGTAGAATAAAATTCTAACACACACAAAAAAGACCAGATTTACTGGCCTGACAGAGACTGGAGAAACCCCAAGAGTATGGCCCACAGACACCCTTTTAGCTCAGTGATGAAGTCACTCCAGAGGTTCAGCGTTCAGCTGGGGATTGGACAGCCACATAAAACAAAACTGGACTAATGCAACACAGCAGTCCATGCCAGTAATGCTGAAGTGAGATGTCTATTGCATTCTTGGGAATTCACAATAAGAAGGATTTTTTTTTTTTAATTTGTCTCGTAAACAAAATGGAATTAGTAATATTTATCTGTAGCAATCTTCAGACTATCTACCAACAACATTATTGGGAACATCTATTTGTGCTGAATCTGCAGGATGGGTTCATTTAATGCAGAATTCATCTGAGGAAATAAATAAACATTTAATTTTGGAAACACACACTCATGCCATATATGCTGACACAGAAAAAATTGCTACTATGTTAAGTGTATGTTTAATGCTGCATTTTCCAATATGATTGCCACTAGCCACATCTGGCTATTGAGCACTTGAAATATGCCTAGTCCACATTGAGATGTAGTATGTGTAAAATACATACCAGATATCAAATATTTACTATGATATAAAAAACGTAAAATATATCACTGTTGTTGTTAGATGTCGTCAAGTCAGTTTCGACTCATAGCGACCTCATGTACCACAGAACAAAACACTCTCTGATCCTGCACCCTCCTCACAATCATTGTTATGCTTGAGCCCATCATTGCAGCCGCTGTGTCAGTCCATTTTCCTGAGTGGTTTCCTCTCTTTTGATGATCCTCTACTTTACCAAATGTGATGTCCTTCTCCATGGACTGGTCACGAGTGGTAACATGTGCTGAGATGAAGTCTCACCATTCTCCCTTCTAAGGAGCATTCTGGCTGTACTTCTTCCAAGACAGATTTGTTTGTTCTTCTGGCAGTCCATGGCATATTCAATATTCTTCAGAAACACCATAATTCAAAGACATCAATTATTCTTTGGTCTTCCTTATTCATTGTCCACCTTTTGCATGCATATGATGCGATTGAAAACACCATAGCTTGGGTCAGGCGCACCTTAGTCCTTAAAGTGACATCTTTGCTGTTTAACAATTTGAAGAGATATTTTGCAGCAGATTTGCCCAAAGCAAATATATCACTAGCAATTTTTAAATAGACTTTAGTTTTTAGAGTAATTTTAGGTTTACAAAAAATTGTGCAGATAGAACAGTTCCCCTATACTCACTCTCCTTTCTGTATGTTTTTTCTCTTATTATTAATTTCTTGCATTACTGTGGTACTTCGTTACAATTGATGGAATGGTATTGATACAGTTTTTTATGCTTTGTGTTGTACACTTCTATGGGTTTTGCTAAATGTGTAGTGTCAAGTGTTCACCATTACGGTATCATTCAGAATAGTTTCACTGTCCTAAAAATGTCTTGTGGTCCACTTATTCATCACTCCCCACTTCCCCTGAATTGCTGACAGCCATTGAGCCTTCTATTGTCTATAATTTTGCCTTTTCTAGAATGTCATATACTTGGCATCATACAATATGTAGTGTTTTCAGACTGACTTCTTTTACTGAACAGGATTCATTTAAGTTTCCTCGATGGCTTTTCGTAGCTTAAAAGTGCATTTCTTTTTGTTGCTGGATAATACTCCATCATATGCATGTGCCACAGTTTGTTTATTCATCTGTTGAAGGACATCTTGGATATGGTCACAGGGACAGGAAGCAAAAATTTTGCATATGGGTCACAAGGGGTAATAGTGAGTGGTGCTACTTCCGGACAACATGGTGCTATAGTCAGAAGCACCACTCCGTCCCTCCGCAGCAAAGATCAGAAAAACTAAGTCAAACGGGTCACACGTCAATCCTGAAACCCTCAGCATCAAATGAAGAGATAAAGAACTCAGCCAAACACCAAATGGAATAAGAAACTGACTGAGAACAGAGCATGAAGAGAGACATATGCAGAGGTCCCCTATCAGCTACCACAGCACAGCTCCAACATCTTGGACTCCTATCAGAGATTAGCAAACAGGAGGTACACAAAAGCAGCTTCACAGAGCTTCCAGCAGAAGACAGAACAACCAGAAACTGACAATATAGGCTTTCCCAGCCCCCACCATTCTTCACCCGCATTTAGCCTCCTCTGCTTCCTGGAGCCACAGTCAGTTGGACAGGAAGCACGAGCTTCCCCCCAGTGCTGCTTGGAATCCACCCACCCACACTGGCCAGCTCCCTGAGTGCCATTTGTTGGCTGTGGTGTTGTTTTTTTCCACTTCTTTAGATTTCTTCCTTACCTCTCACCACCTCCCTGTCCTTTCTCTCAAATACCTGGCTCCGTGCACTATCTTTGCTTCTTCCTGAAAGGCTGCGAAACACTGCTCTACTGTGAAACTGCTTCCTGGCGCATGCCACCATGTTCGTGGGACCCCCGAGAGCTTTTTTTTTTTTTTGCTCTGATTAGTTTGTTTGTTTTCTTTTTCTTTTCTTGGCTCTGGAGCCTCTTCTAGCCAGGCAGTACCACGTGGCTTGGAAGCTAGTCCCTTACTCTGCGCAGACACACAGGGACATCCCTGGGGGCATTTCTTTTTCTTGTTTTTTTTGTTTGTTTGTTTGTTTCTTTTTTTTTTTCATTTCTTTGTTTAGCTTTCTTCTCTCTCTTATTCCCTTTTTGTCTTTCTTCATTTCCAGTTTCTCAATTTATTCATTTTTTTCTTTAATCCTTTTTTTTTTTCATTTTTGTTTTTCCCCATTTCTCAGTCTCTCATCTCTCCACTCCAGTAGCAAGCTGCCTTAGCACTCTTTTTTGTTTGTGTGTATGTCTTTGGCTCCTGTTCCTCTCTCCTCTCTCTCATCTTTCCCATACCCATCTTAGCTCAAAACTTCACAATCTATCCCCTCCTTCCTGCCTAACTGCACCGTGTGCTGAACATCACACTCCCAAGCAACAGAGACACAGCCTACTGGAACCTGCCCTGCACTGATTCCTGGTCCACACTGTTAGCCCTGGTACATGCCACAAAAAACATATCCCAGCAACTCCCCTTCAGCTGGACCTGTCCTGCTGTACCATCCCTGAGTGACTGACTCTGCTCATTGGAGAAAGAGGTGAAAATTATCGTGCCCACAGATGAGCAAACAACAAAGAACACACAGCCCACCTGGTCAGACATAACCAAATAAAACAA